TTCTCACATCTCTTCTTTATTTTGCTAACGCTTTCTCTTTGAAACTCAAGTTTCTATTTATTATAAGAAATTTTCAAAAGTTTCTTTCAAAGCGCACAGATTACAGATAAAAAAGAGCTTTGCGGCTCTTTGACGGGCAAACTTTAAAATAAATAATCCGCTGTAGGGATCAAAGTACGCAACAGTAAGTCATATATCATCGTAAGAGTCCGGGCTAATTCATCGTCAATAAACGGAGACGAGCGCGACAGATCGATGATGCTTAATGATTCAGCATAAACTTTCTCGCTCGGGAGCGCGCCTTGGGAAGGCGGCGTGGCGCATGAGCGGGCGAAGGGCGCGGGCGAAGGTCTTTATATACCCAGTTACCTGGATGATCCGTATCCATAATAACAAAACGCCCCGGTTGGTCTCGGCTTAGCACGCGTTTCCACACGCACGTCGGAAGGGGGAGAGGGGGTGTAGTAAAAGGAAAAAAAAGCAAGAGCACGAACGCGATGGAAATGGAGAGTTCGCGCCGTGTGGAAATATAAGTTTAGTCAGGAGTTGACCTGAATTCAGGTGGGGTGAATCAATATCCTGCCTGCCTGCCTGCCTGCCTGCCTGCCTGCTTGCCTGGCCGCGTGCTCTGTTCGTTTCACAGTTACCGTGGCAACCAGACTCCTTCCTTTATTAAAATATGACCCGCGTCGTTTTCTGTATGTATGCAGCTATACATACTGTGCATACATAATTATATCTGAATTAGCGAAAAGGGGATGATATCGCCGTGAGACGTGGAATTATGGTCGTCGCGTGGGGCACATTACGATCAGGCGGCCGGCGATCGACTCGTCTCATGGTGCCAAGGTGTAACAGCCTTCGTGACTAGGTGACTCCAAGGGTGCGACCTTGATGCGGAGTCTCGCGAGTTCGATGAACTCGAGTCACGCGAGTTATAAATGCGCTTTAAAACGCGATTAACTTGCTCATCCCGAAATTGGCGTCCATGAATATTATATTAATAACCGACGAAGCAGATACGTTTCTAATACAATTACATTTCTGGAACTTGTGTGCGTAGGTTCAGTTAGGATCGCAATTACGACTCTGGAACGTTTCTTAGACCTAATCTACAATGTGCTTCTTGCGTATTATTTCTAGCTCTCTGCTTTTCGTATTTTTGCTTTTTATGTGTTTGTCGCATGGGGTCAAGAAACACCGTGATTTACAATTTTTCCTTTCTGAATTTCCGAAAAAATATGTCTTTACATAAAGGCAAAAAGGCAGAAAACAAAAATCAAAAAGCACATTATAGATTGGGCTTTAATGATCAACAATATTTATTTTTAGAGACATTAATAAGACTTTCGATGATGCAAGCGTTTGAATAAGCAAAAGGCAATTAAGAGTCGTGATGGATAACACAGAGAATAAATTCAACGAGATATGCTATGACCTTTAATAAAATGTTAATTATTTAATAAAATTTTACTGTAATTATGTAGAATCGTTAAAAGAGATAATTTAAATATTTAATAAATATCAAATATAAAATTTATTTAAATTTGTCATATTGCACAAATAAGTTTTAACTCTTTTTTACGTGGAAATTAATAATTGTTAATAATGTTACAACAATGTTATAACAAGGGATAATATTGCGAGGTCGGCAGTCGTTTAATTTCAAATGTCAAGATTATTCGCATTGACCTTACTTTATCCGCGACCGTGCTCTCGAAGAGATGTGATCATTTTCACTCTGTTTTGAATAGAGCCTTTAACTTTCGAAACAGCCGGCTAAAAACAGAACTCAACAGCCGTTTTGTATTAACGCTCTTTGTTTATATGCGTCGATTAATGTCATTTCATCGAAATTCATCGCGATTTTCACCGCGGACTGCCAGACCAGGCAGCGACGATATTTGGCCGCGTCGATGAACCGAATAAACATCCAGGTCAACACACGTGACAGCCTCGAGAGATCGTTTGGACTTGACGAGGCCGCGGTTATACGTATTCTAAATCCGCCACAAGGCGTAGATCTATTTATATACGCGGTAACGTGAAGTTGCGCTCTTGCGTGCTCGTGTTGCGCTCCTGCGAAACGGCGCTCGCGGAATTTGCTTCCTCGAGAACGCGCAATGTTCATCGGAGATATTCAAATTTACACGGTTGAACGGGCGCGACGGGATAACGCCAAATGACTCACTCTACCGTGCATCTGTTTGGAGCGGAACGGCCGCGAGATACGACCAGATCACCGGAATAATACACTTTAAGCATCGAAGCCAAGGCCGCAGGTGTCATTTACGTGACATTTATGGGAGCATTTTAACTCTCAGCTGGTGACGTGGAAAAAATCGACGCAATCGACGATGAAGGGTCTCTCAAATTGTTTACTTCCTTTTTACATGTTTTTTTTTTTAAATGACTTTTCTGGACGGAACAACGATTACTTGCAGATCTTCTTCCAACGGTTGCGGTTTCTTAAGTTTTTCATCGCACCTGTTTACTGAGTACTACAAGTTAGCGCTTCTTCGGCATTCGACTCGTAAAATTTTCTTCCCTCACGATTGGTTTACGATCTAAGTTTATGGGTGCATAAAGCGAAGGAGCGAATAAATTTAATAAGTCGCTCGGCATGTTCGCATTCGAACGTACTCCACTCTGTTCTCGAAGACACTTGCCCTAATCTGATTTTATCGTGTTCTTATGCTCGAACGAGAGGGAATTTCGTAAGGAGGTTTCCGCGATGAAGCGACAGACCGGAGATCGAGGTCGATAGGTCAGATAGGGTAGCAAGTGACAAAGACTGATAGCTTAGAGTTCAGCGGCGTAATAGGCTCGCCAATCCTCCTTAGCCTCCGCTATTTCCAACTGCTAATTAATCTTCATCCCTATCGCGTCGCGGAGTACAGATTGATTGTCAAAGTGTGCGGCGGATAAAAAAAAGTCAGCTGTGACGAATTGTTTAGAAGACGTGTCCGCGGAAAGATGTAGGTAACGAGAACAAGTGACTTTAATTAATCCTATGTCAGACATAATATCTGGCGGATATCTGGCGTCCTGGCGCGCGATGCGTCAAGCAAGAGAGTCAGAAACTTCATCCTCTTCGCGTTATATACAGAATATTTTGCTTCCATCGCTAATGATAGATTCCTTCGCTAAACTGAAGGCAAGAATTCTCATAACAAAATTGCCGAGAATTTAATAGCTTTTGTGTTGCGAATGATTGAGAATAAATTACTTTTCGCGAGCTAAGCCTCACGGACACGAATTGATAACGAAACTTTATTGTTTGTTTAATTTCAAGTGAAGTTTTAGTTTGGATTAACAGAACTTCAACTTCTTTGTGAATTCCCAAGTTATTTAACATCGAAAAGTTGTGACAAATAATGACTTCTCTCAATGTTTTTCTTAAAGAAAAATTCTCCCTAAGTTTACGGAACACCATGCCATTAATCACAAAAAAATAAAAAAAATATACATTTTATCCTAAATAATGTATAAGAAATATTTGTAATAATTTTCCAGTGGATATTTTGCGTGTTTTTCAAAAATCAGCAATGTAACGAAATTTGGGATCCCTATTTTGGGATTTCCCGTTAATGAGATTCACTATTATGTCATCTCGTGTACAGTTTGACGATATAAGCCTAAGCTATGTTCGCTTGACGGCTATTAAACTCCCGCCAAGTCGGGACGCGTAATACGCTAACTCACGTAGAAGTTCGAGGCTGCCAACAAGAAGTTGTACGATTATACGCAGGCTCTCATATGTTAAATATATGGATAATTTGGATCGTCGGCCAACCGAGTCGATTTTTCAACTTTCGTAGCCATTGCGCGAACGTAACGCGACGACAATTGTCGCGACAATAGCTTAGAGCCACGCAAATATTAAATATTTTATTTCTAAAGGACACGAAGAAAAGGAAAAGAAGGATATAAAATACTCTCTTGTGAACGTGGTTTGACAAAGTTCGTGAACATATTTTCTCTTAAGCCGGAAGCACTAGGAGCGCGACAAAATACGCAGTTGATCTCTCTTACCATCCAACTGCATTCTGTGCACGTTTCGTTCCAAACAGTTTAGTGAGATATTTGTTCACTGTATCGAAAATATAATATTTTAGAAGAGTAAACTTTTCTCTCAGGCTGAACAATTCTTGAAAGAAATGAATAAATTGCGAAAAATATTAACAAAATGAAGAAACGACAAGGCGTGTTATTATTTCGAAGTAATGAATGATGAATAAGGACTTAAAGAGAGTTTTCGTTTTGATGCTCTGATTAATATTTCAACCTACTTTCTAAATTGCCTCTGACAGCGAAAACATTGCTAAAATAATGTCGGGTACAGAAAAATTGTATTTTGAAAGGAAATAATGTTAGTTTAAACAAATTTACACGGAAAGAACACTTTTGCTGAAAGATTTAAAAATTGTGCCAGATTCAAATCTGAAAATAAATTTTGTTGGACATTCAAAATTTTGGTTGATGGATCGTCTTTTTGCTGCGATATGCAAAAGATCGAGTGCTCCATTAATAAATTTTGATTGTCCAACAAAATTTATTTTCAGATCTGTATCTGGA